TGACAATAGGGACTAATTTGAGAAAGGAAGGAAACGTTTTCGCACAGTAATTTAATCACATGTGGGGGAAGGACAAAGGCTCTTAGAAAGATGTGAAAATTAATTACTGAAACAAAATCAGTGTTCTATCCATGATTTTTCTTTACCCATAATCTGAAAAAACTGAAAGAAACTCTATTTCAGTCCTTAGACAAGAGGGAGAATGTGACCTGGTGTTGAAGACTTCACCAGTGAAGCTAAAATTAAAACAGAGCATGTGACGATAAAAAGCTTCGTTATTTTCGTGGATACTTTTTGACTAAGCATCATGTATACAGTATATACGGGATTTTTCTATGCAGCTGCAGCATTGTTGCGTTCTGAGTAAAGTGGTTTCAGTCTCAACGGCAGCAGCTTTCCCTTGTTGCTGGTTAATCTTGAGCTAGTTTTTAGTCAGGCTTCACAAATTGCAGTGTGAGGCAGTTATTCTCACGCATTCATAAAAAAAAACAAATATAGTTAACACGTATATTTCTTTAACAAAAATGTACTATTTCAGAGCATGCGTGCACCTGTGGCGTGGTGATGATGACAGCTCCGTCAACATGGGTGGAGCTTAGGTACTGGACGATTGACAGGTGCTCATCTGAGGTGCCAGGGGGTGTGTCCACAATCAGGTAGTCCAGCTCCCCCCAGTCAACGTCCCTCAGGAACTGTTTAATCATCCCTGAGGGACATGAAAAAAAAAACCACGTGTGACAACTGACTGCTGGGTTGAATACACAGAATGAATACACATGAAGTACACAGGTATACCATTCTTTTTGGGTCCTCTCCAGATCACAGCATCATCAGGGCTACTGAGCAGGAAACCAATAGACATGACTGACAAGTTGTCCTCCACATACTGCAGGGGACACAGACATCAGGACACTTGATTCATTCAGTGTTCAGAAAAAATTAAATCTAACCGTTTAAACCGACTCACCACAGGAGACCAGCCTGAACCACTTTGATGAACCTGCAAAAGAGACAAAAAGCTTAATAATATTAATGTGAACGGTTCCTGTAGATTTATCCATAAACTCAGTCTTCACTTACTTGTTCTCCCTCGACACCCAGGATCCTTGGAAGAGATGGACCACAAATATCTATGTCCAGCAGAGCGACCTAAAAACAGAGTGAAGAAAAAGAGAAAAAAAAGAAACTTTAAAAATCAAATAATTTCAGTGAGGCATTGATTTGTGTTATTTAAATGTTGACAAACAATTATTTCAGTTTTCTATTTCTTGGCAATACTGCTTATAATAAGCATATAATAAGTAGGAAAAAAAGGTCACATACAACATTATAAATACAAATGTAATAAATGTTCATTTATACCTATGGAGGAATACCGGCAATGCCAGTGCGACGGCGAAGTTCACCGGCATCCCCAACGACCTCTAGTGGCAATTAATAATCAATGTTTTTTGAAAGATATGGCAACACTGCAAACGAGTTTAACTTTAACTAAAAAACATATTTAATATGAATTTAAAGTAAAAAAAAATTAGATTAAATGAGAATTATCTGTTGACTTTGACAACGAAAGGCCTTTTTACATCTCTCTTTTTTTTAGACATGTCAGAAAAAGTATAATAGTCTTGTGAAGCTATAAAGATGTAGTGTTTGAAAGTTCTGTTAGGCAACTGGACGTGAATTTTCTAAAAGAAGACGTTTCACCTCTCATCCAAGAGGCTTCTTCAGTTCTGAATAAGAACTTTAAAACTTGACCATGACCTGGATGACTAAGAATCTTCATAGTTATAAAGATGTACATCTTTGTCAACCTCAACTTATGAATAAAAAGTAAAGAAAACAAAATATGATGTTTTTATAAATGATGGCTGGATGGTCTATTCTGGTCCACAACTTAGTTCTTCACCCTGAGCTAAAACAAATGATTTACAGTAAAGCCTTGTTTGGACAGTAGCTCTGTGAGTCATACAGTTATAAAAATGATAACTTAAATTTCACCTCTTTTGTGCTGTCACTTGCGAGGGCGTGGGCCAGGTGGGCACTGAAGGTGCTCTTCCCCACTCCTCCTTTTCCAGACAGAACAAGGATCTTGTGCTTGACTGACGACAGCTTTTCTCCTATCTCTGCTATGGCTGTGGTGACAGAAGGGCAGAAACAGCAGCAGGTGAAACTATCCAGCCAAAATAAGTTCAGTAAAAGATAGCTTCAGTTTATGCAAATATTTTAAATGCTTTACCTAAAAGTCACACAGTTAGTTAGACACAACGTAGCCACGTTTATACTGCAAACTAGACAAACGGACTGTTGTTGGGGCACCTAACAGTAAAGACAGAGTAAATAAATTCTGCCTAACAGTATCCTTTGTTTAGAATATCAATCAATTCGAATTTAAGTTTAAAAAGAAACCCAAAGAAAACCACTTACCGGGGTCAGGAGTCTTGGTGGCTCCAGAGGCACACAGACTCTGATTGGGGCAGCCCTGACATGACGCCGAAGTTCCTGCTTTCTCACTTGTTGTTCCAGGACAATCTTCAAGAAATTCAATACAATATTTAGTTCTATTTGTGGAACTGTCGACATATAACAAGTCATTCCGACGTGTAACAAGTTAATTCTAGAGAAACAAAATGAAAACACAATTGACTCTCAAAGCCTTGACAGGTACACTGAGGCGCTTATATAGCAAAGACGAACCCAGAAACCTTAAGAAATACAATTTCTACCGGGACTAATGCAAAACAAAAACATAATGAATATTATCTACCTTTGAGGCCTTAAAAATATAACTTTCAAAAACTCACGTTCTGGGGCATTGTCTGGAACGTCTGCCATATTTACTGGTGTCCGACGATTAAATAGTTCCCCTCCTTTAGTTCCGTGTACGCACAACGGCAGATTTAATATGTTACGATCTAAATTATTTACTATCTATTATGTGAAAACAACAATAATATGTAATAAATTATCTACACCTGCTCTAACATATAATAACGGGGACGGTGCCATTTCAAATTATTTTCCGATGCAAATGGGACATTACTACGAAAACACATTGAATTTGCTGGATTAAAAAACAACAAACAAAACAAAGCAAATCAGACACCTATATACAATTTTTTTTTTAATCAAATGAATACAATGCGCTTCCGTACAATCAACCTTCTAAAGAAAGTTTCTGGATTTGACAATGTTTGGAGCGAAGGGGGAAATAGTGTCCACTAGAGGGCAATATTGGTGCAGTTTCTGGATGTCAAAATGCGCAAGGTGAATGATGACGAAATTTGACATTCATTTTGTATTGATTAAAACACAATTTGACATTACTTTCACGATGATGTATTTGCGTTTCTGCAGAATACGATTTTACTCAAAATGTACTCCCTGTAGCCTAACCACGTGCTATCCATTCTGCTTATGTAGTTTAAAATTCTGTTCCACAGCACCTAAATTTATATGAGAAAAGCTGAAAGTGATCGTTACCATTAAAGTAATATGGACGACGAAACATATATAGATGCAACAGTAACACTGTTCAGGTCTCATCATGGATGCCCACAAACTAATAGAGGTCAGGTTTTGGTCACATTGCTACTCAGCACGAATGCTAAGCCCTGGCTGAACAAGCTGTCATCACACTAACAACAATGGCCCCTCTGCTCTACCTCCATTCATACTTATCTCTTTATCTGGTGAGCTGTGATGATTCTCCTAGACATAATGCATTTCCTACAACCTTACGTCTACGATTTATAGCCCAAATCAGGCCCTTACCTAAATCTAATGTGGAATCAATAAAAACAATGAATTAGGAATAGTGTGTTTTAGTAAAAGCTACATCATTAATACATTATTTTTTACTGATTAACTACAGAAATACAAAATAAAATAAAAACACATATAATCACCTTTTTTTCAGTTGCCAAATTCTTAGCAATGCTAGTGGCAATGCTAACATTACAGAGCTACTGACTCAATCTTCTTTCTTTCTTTGTTTCTTTGTTTCTTTCTTTTCTCATGACCCCCCTTTCCCCTCCCCTCAGTTGGGAAAATTCTCAGCTGTTGAAGTCACACCAGGTCAACACAAACATAGACCGATTTAGGTTGTTTTTTAAACTTCATCAGAACAAAGCAGAGTCTAAAAAAAATCAAAACAAATTTAGAAAATCAACTGTAATCAGTCCACATTCACTTATTTATTGCTCATCCATAAGCATCAAGGGCTGGTATTTGATAAATTCAGACGTCCTGTGTCATTCTGTAATAGGATTAATCAATGTTTTTGTTTCTGTTTGTTTTATTTTATTTTTTCCCCCTCTCCAACTGTTCTTCTGTTAGCCTTGTGGAGTGAATGTTAAAATAAACCTTTGGATTCAAGTAATCATGACAACCGATCTTTCACCTATTTATTATGAGTAATCATGACAACCGATCTTTCACCTCTTTGCATAGTTACATAGTTCCAATCCCAGCTTTCTTGATCACAGGGTCGGCTACACTTCAAATGCGGCGTGGAAACCTTCACATGTTTACAGCAGAAGACAAACAACGTCTTACTCTTACATTTACCCGTGTCAGGGCAGAGTGTCCAATTACCCTAATCTCCAGATGACATGTTTTTGTACTGTGAGAGAAAACCATTTGTCTGACTAAAGGCACAGACTGCTAACCTTCTTACTGATAGTCCACGCTGCCAACCACTACTGCACAGTGCTGCTCTGATATAACACACACACACACACACACACTCAAAGCAGAAATATGAGTATTTACTTATACCTGGAGTGTTTGTTCTATCTTCACCTAATGAAAATGCAAAACCTGAACACACCCACGTGCATGCAAATCTTTGCTCATCATGAGAGGAACAGTGCATGGACGCAAGTGCACGTACCAAAGCTCTTTGCTTAATTACATCATTTCATCCTGAGTTATTATTTCAGGAAAAACTAGAGAAAGAGAGACACAACAATAGAAAATGTAAAAAACACACTCAAAATGTAACTTACAAATAAATATCAAACCCTTTGATGTCTTGCTCTGTCCAAGGTGTAAACATTTTTTAAACTTGTTTTTTATTTCCACAGTTCTTAATTTCCCACATAGCAAAAACAATTTCCCCCCACTCTCTTGTTACTCGTTTGTAAACGTGTTATTTACAACTGACACCAAAACAGAGCGCGCTCCACCAGTGTAGTAAAAACAGCAAAGATAGAGTAGACAGCAGGTGCACTCCCGTAGCCAGAGGAATTCCAGATGCTTCTTGCAGTTATTCTGGTCAGGAATCCCAGTCATCAACTCTGTCTTCATGCCTCCATTCCCCAGGATCCCTTTGGCACTGCACCAGTTGAACCCACAACCATATTTATATTTCTATAATTTGGCTCATTTAAAAGTTGTGACGATTAAAAATTCTCTCCCTTTTACAACAACTCCCTCTTAAATATGTTGCACTGTCCACATATGGGTATATATATTGACAAAATCTGTGTATATAATGTGTATTTATATACATTATATACATTACGCTGTCATTTTTCCAAACCTGAAATTATTAAAATGAACGTCATTCGTCCTTTTAACCCACAACAGACTTCACACTTGAGCTTCCATCACAAGGCTAAGGGCAATAAACCTTATCTACTCCTACACACACACACACACACACACAGAGTTCAGAGGTCAACAGACTGGACAGCAGCCTCTGATCTTCCTTGCCTCCAAGTCTAAACAAAGTAATCCCAGAATAACTATTGTTATCTTCCCCTGATATCGTATGTGTGTGTGGCAGAAGTCAACAGTTGTGGCGCATTTGTGATGAGAGTGAAAATACCCTGACTCAAAGGAAGGCTTTCGTGTGTGTGTGTGTGTGTGTGTATGTGTGTGTGTCCCAGCACGTACATCTGTGTGTTTATGTAAAGGAAGGAAGATTAGTTGCTGTCCATGACTATTTTTGGCCACACATATTTGGATATAAATGTTTTTCCTCTGCAACAACTCTCCTTCCTGCCACAGAATGTTGATCTTGATTCTCCGCTCTATGGTTTTTAGAATGATGAATCAAAATAAATGAACTTCACACATGTTAGCAGCAAAAATGCTTCACATCTTAAACTACCTACAACTAAAACAACAATTTTTAAAAGTCATCACTTCATTTATTTACTATTTTTTTTTTATTATTCAAGTTTAGTTTGCTCTCACTCTGAAGAGCTCTCTCCTAATTTTATATGCTTCACTTCATCTTCAAACAACGATTGGCAGGAATCTCACCTCTAAAAGAACCCATCTGTCCATCTGACTTCACGATTTATCACTATTGTTCTGTCCTTACCAGTACATTGCACCACGTACACATCTTCCCACTGAGGACACACAGAAACGTGTTGCACCATCACACTATAGTGTACCCTGGATGACTGTTCACTGGAACCATGGACGCGGTCATGTTATCAGGGCTGTAAACATGCTTCTGGTCGTTTCCTTTTGTGCTTGGGTGGCTCGGTGTGTTGGTCTCTAACCCTGGGTGTGTGTGTTTGTGTGTGTGTGTTTATGGTGATCAGTGCTTAATTTGTGGGAAATGGGAGGTACTGGAAAATGGGAAGTGAGGTAGAAAACGTATTTCAGAAGCTGTGAATTACTTGTTTGCTTCTCAGACAGTATCATGTATCAAACATCTTTTCAAACGGTTTTCAAAACTGGATCTACAGCCTGGATATATTATGAAACATTAAGCTGTACATGCCCACCAGTAATTCACAATCGGATCGCTGTCTGATGTCAACGTCAAACCAAATCAGTCTCTCTTTAATCTGCATATGCTAAAAACAGTGGACAATCACATTACTGTACATGGTAAGTCAAAGAGATTCAAAGTTTGGTTCCCGTAACTGTGAGTTTTGGAAGTGGCCCAGTTCATTTCCATGTTATCTGCATCACTGTGGCCGAGCCAAACACAACCACCTCACTGCAACGGCCAGCATTGTTCTTTAATCACAACTCTCTGATTTGGTCACCAGCGTCTGATCTTCACTATCTTCCTTTCTTTGTGTTTGTCTTAAAAGTAAAAATAAAAAGGTCTTCTTCAATCTGCACATGTGTGATTACCAACGAATGTGAACCTCCAACGGCAACACACACGCACAAACACACACAGAGTCAGAAACAGGAACAGGGGAGGTGGGGGTACTTCCTGTGTGACTGCCTAGATTACTCCCTGTATTTATATCTGTATGTGTGTGTGTGTGTGTGTGAGCGTGCAGGTGTGTCAGCCTTGACCCAGTCTATCTCCAGTGTTTATACTCAGATCCTCAGCTACAAGTGTGAATGTACATTAAAACACATCATACATGAACTGAGCCACATTTATAAGGTTGGACATAACACTGTGTGAATAAAAACATTCATTTGTGTTAAAAAAACCCCCAACAAAAAACAACATCTTATTTTTTTTGTTTGTTTAAAGTTGATAAATAATTATTTACCAGGTTTATTCACATGTTAGGCAGCAATTAAAAAAAAAACATAGATAGAGGATAAAAATAAGTCAAATACAAACTTATCCTAAAAAAATGTTCTCAAGAAAATTCTCTCTCTCGACGAATCCGTCAGCAGTGATGTGATCCAGGTGAGATATCTGCGCTTCCATTGAGGCTCATGATGGGGTTATTGTACAGCCCATTGTTTCCATATAGGTCTGTGACAATGACAGGAAACTAATCTGTGTTGAGGTTGATTTACAGTGTAGTGTGTGAGTGTGGGTGACAGTGGTGAGGGATCTCTAATGTTTGCTGCGTGTTTACACCCGTGGAGTGGACACTTGATACTCGACGCCTGGCAGGGACGTTAAACCTGTTCCTTCCAGTTCTTTGTGAGCATTTGTGCGCGAAAGTGCACCTGAATGAGAGCAGTGATGAGGAGGCGGGGCAGGTGGTCAGTAGCCTGAGGAGATGAGAAGGATGGGGTTGATTTGTGGCCAAACAAGCCCTGGCATTAAGCCCTTTATGTGTGTATTTTTGTGTGAGTGAGATGTTGAAAATTACAACAACTAACTCAGCAGTTTTAGCAAAACACAAAACATGCACCAACATTTGTTTAAGGCTGTGTTTTTATTAATTTTTATTTTATTTTATTTTTTAGAAATAGCATTCACTCATGTCCCACACATTACCAGACGTTATCTGCAGACTGGTCGCAGGAAAGACGATTTTTCAAACATAAGGTTCGTGTGTCTGCACACATGACCAGGTCTGCTCTACAACAAGGGGTAAATAGAGTAACATAGTGACTCATTGTACCATATACTGCTACGTGGTATCATCAGCTCAACATTCTAATTCCATCCATTCCTCTGCTGCCTGTTAGCCACAAAAATGTGTGCATTCAAACATATGCACTGCCTCGGCCAGATATTTGGGTATAAGTGTATCCAGACGGCCTGTGTATATATAATCATAAACCTGTGCAAACACTCTGAGTCATTTTGTGGCCTGAGGAGAATCTTTGACCATGGTAACCTGCTGTTCACACACAGCCACACATACAGGGCGTCCAAACACAGCTGAAGGAATCCCCTTATCCTACTCTCCTGCTGTCACTTCAGTGAATTTGTTTTGTCACGGTTGCAAAAGAGTCTGTTTCTAAAAGCGGGAAAAAAAAATGTAATGTGATGTTTGAACCTAAAAAAAAAAACTGGTTCCCTGGACAGATTTGGAGTTTTTTCACAGACTCATTCACAGTCATTTGTCAATGATGGAACTGTCTTGCGGCTGCAAAGAAAATGCTAAGAATGATGCCTTGTATAATCCTGAACAATGTCGTCCTCATTACTTCATGTCTGTGGTAACTAACTTTTTCCATGTGATGCCACAATACAATGCACTGTGAGTGGACAGGGGCACATGGGACAAAGAAGACACACAACGTGACCGCAGCGGACCGGACCAGTTTGGTTTTTGTCAAGTTTGCAAATTGGTGTTGGTATTTCTCTCAGTCACATATTAGTCAGTACTACAGAAGGATTTGATCGGAGGGTAATACTGTACATAATGTTGACTCAGCCTAATATGATTCGAAAGCTGGGCGTAGTATTGTGTAAACAGTCTTTACTCCCTCATTGGCAAAAGTTGTTCACTGACACCTGGAAAAGTAAATCGCACCTGAGATCAACCCAGCTGTAGTAAAAAGAATCTTTACTTTCCCACAAACACACACGCCTGAGTGTGGTGGCCTCCTGAGGGCTTCACCACTCTACCAGACCTGTAGTATCAGATTTAAACTCTTTTTTTCTAACTAAGAGTTGACCACTTATTGGCTAAACACACGTTTTTTCATTTCAAAAACATAAAGAAAAAAGGCAGAAATTGAAGTACTTCGAGTACTTCTCCATATCTCAGATGACAGAAACAAACCAAGCCAGGTCTGGAACAGACAAAACTTCTCTGACCAAATATGCTTCTGTGCACAGGATGGACTGTCAAAACCACCGTAAAGAAAATTTAGTGCAACAGCTGGTGGAGCTTGACCATGAGAAGCGTGTGTGTGTGTGAGAGTGTGTGTTTGTGTGAGTGCATGACGGCGGGAAGACAGGAGCAGGAGAGGAGCAGCGAAAAGGATCATCGTTTGGCTTGTTATCGTTGGATTTTATAGTCCAGACAGAAACTGCAGAAACCGATTCATATCTGTTTGAAAAACAATTAAAAAAAAGAGTTCTAATGGGAGACTCAAGCATTTTACAAAGTCAGGAAAGTGTGAATCCTGCTTCTTTCACCCTCCTCACCCCTTCCCCACCTCCCCCCGGACATATTTTCTTCTTTGCTCTAGTTCTTTTTGGGCTTTCGTTCAACTCTTCTTGCTTTCCTCCTCATGACTTTTTAATGGCCTTTCTAATCTTTTTAATTTCCCTCTGTCTCCTGCCCCGTGTGACTCCTGTTGTTTGTTTTCCATCTCCTTTTCTGTCGATCTGACACAGACTGTCTGTTTGGAAGGAAACAGACCTTCAAACCTCTCCTCCGACTCCACTGATGACTTTTATAGGCACTTTCCCGCCGAGCTTTAAACCTATCCCCTCATGGGTCACTAATGCACACTCCATTTCCTCTGTAGTTGGGAGAACATTCTCGGGGCTAATGCTTTTCTCAGCCCCTGACCTTCAACTTCACCACCTCAAAAAAGTCTTACCATAACACTACCAGTGATCCAAAAATCTTGAAACCGCAGGCATGAAGCCCACTGAGACTGGAACAACCGTCAGATTGTTACAACTTTTAGTGCAAAATGTTCAAGTTTCTAAAATTTGCCTGTGCAGACAGAGTGGCCGTGTCTGACTTTTAAAAATCCTCTGGACGTCACAAATATTAATACCCTTTAACTGTTATTTAGAGATTTAAATGTACAATCGTTTTTGGTCCACCTCCCATTTCATGGATGTTGAGACCAGTTGTTGTCCTTTAGGTTGAATTACTGTCACCAACAAGGTTTTCAACACAGGTTTCCAGACCACTTTAAGAAGAGAAAATACAAGTAGAGGGCAGTGTTGCTGAGGAAGTATATATATATATATATAATGTACAAATGTGTGCATACCATCCTCTCCCAGGGTCTTAAGCCTTAAACACACAGACATATATACACAGTTTATCCCAGCAAATTAAATCCGAGACCACACCCATCTGGAACTCGGCCCTCCCACGCGCGCTCCCGGCCGACGCACGGACGCGCCAACGTGCATTTCCAAACTTTTCCCCCCCTTATTTTAACACCGCTACAGTGAGACCTCCAGCTCCCAGCTTTCTGGCAATTGCCTACCGTTTTCCCTTCTTTTCTTTTTTTTTGCTGATTTAATGCTACTTTTTTTTGTTGCATTTTTAAATCCCACTTCACACAGCTTTTCCATCCTGATCCTCCAAGTCTCATCTTGATCTCCACGCAGCGGTATTTTCGCTCCAAACTCGGTGAGTTAACCTGACATTTGTAGTTGGTTCTTATTTTAACGCCTTCATTTATTCACGTTACATTTTTTTAAAAAACGTATTCACACCATTATTATAACTTTTAGTGGACCGGACTAGAGGCGCGTTTTCATCCCAGATGTCCGTCTGTCAGGATCATTTTAAATATGCCAAACATATTTAAAACAATATGATCGAGGATGTGAGATTGTTTTCTCATTTTATTTTTATTTTAAAGTAAATTTAATGGAGTATTTAATTCAGTTTACCGCTCATGCCTTTTGCCCGTGAGTATTTTTTTGACACGGATCTTAATTCCGCTTCTCGCTCCAACTCTTCGTTGTACGTTGGAAATGAAAGGGGCGTTGTCAGTGTGTGCGTGTCTCTGTTACTGCCATTAATTTCTCTGTGCACTGAATTACACTGAATGTGTTGTGCTCTGCGAATATATTAAATATATATATCCTCACAAGAAACTCTGTTTGACACCATTTGCTTACATTATACATTTTACATTTTTTGAATTTTACTTTCCTGGAATATTTTGTTTTTGTTTGTTATAAATAAATATCTAGTGTATTACGGATGTTTTTTAATAGTTATCGGAATCGTTGTCACAATCAGGACACCTCAGAGATTGGATTGAATAATCAGACTAATTACATGCATCACCTGTTTACAATTGTGTACAATATATAGATGTGTATTTCCCTATTTAGGTTTTGCATTGTGGACTGAGTTGCACTTTTAAAGAAGCAGTGCGACTCCCTTCCTCTCTGTGCGCCCCCGCGTGGCCAAACACGATGAAACGCCGTAAAAATCAACTGTTTTGCATTTGGAACGTGACATTTGGCAGGAAGTGCATTTTGTCTGGCAGGAGCGGTCGTGTGATTATGATTCTTTTAAATGCAGGTAAATGTTTAAAGTAAATCTGAATGGTTATTGCCAGCTGAGGTGATAACGTTAGAGAGGAGCGATATTCATATGAGGACTTAGATTTTCTCATCCATGTGTCGTTACTCAGTAATGTCTAATTAGTAAAGTATCTTAAGCATTTGCACAAACTCACAGAATCAAATCCATCATTCAAATGTTGTTATCCATTACTAGGTACCTCCTAATCCTAGGCTCCACCTAAACGCCGTCCACGTCTACGCCCTAACACAAACCACAGACTGAGAAATGAGGTTCTGCCTCATCAGGACTGGCTTTACTGCTAATTAGCACAACTGGTGCTAAAAGAAAATCACCACCAACACCAGAAATGGTTGTAAATACCTACACACGTGTGTGTGTGTGTGTGTGTGTGTTCATGACGCATGAAAGGAGTCACACGGAACTCTTTAGACCCAGCGGGACGTGGTATATGTCTGTGAATTTGAGTGCACGTGTCTGTTTTGCTGCTACCTGGATTGTTAGGGTTTAGAACCCTCCACCCCCCACCCCCCAAACACAGACCCACACACACACACACAATCATAG